CATCAAACTAAATTCAGCATCTAACATAACAACAGAGCAATTATATCTTCTGCTGAGAGCGTGAGCCATGATGTCAGTGGTCCTGCTCTGTAGAAATGCTGGCATGTGGACTGAAATATGAATACAGTCTACTCTGCACTTTAAGACTAGATCAAAGAGCTCTTTGGTGTTAAGCTAAGATCGATTTAATGTTAAGACTTATGTGGGTTTGAGGAAAGATATAACCTCTTTTTAAGGGATTTTCGAGACATCCCTGACCAGCTAGACCGGTGCTATGTTGACTTTAAAAGTAGAGGTTATTGGTACATCATGTGTACTCAACTTTGCCTGTTGCACTACTTTTCAGGAGACTTCAGTCACACATACCCATCTTGGGAACAAAAGATCAGCTCCTACCCTGCCTGATATTACGCTGTCATTCATCCTGTCAAACACAGTATAGTTTGTCTCAAGGGTCAGTCTGTGTCACTTCAGACAGAAATCAGGAAATAAGTTCCTGCACTGTCTCAGATTTTGTTCAGAGCTATTTGTTATTGGGGACCCAAAACTATGTTGTGTGAAATATTTTGGCAGAATTTTGAGAAATTTGTGTGTTTTAGGAACTGGGGGTGTTGGTATTTTCACCCTCAAAAGACAACCACAAAACTCCTGTCCAACCTGAAAAGTAATTTTAAAGAGTTCAATAGTTCCAGAAATACTCCCACAGCTATAAAATTTGGTGAGGACACAGACAAAATGAAGTGATAGCTGGACTCACTACTGACAAGAATGAAGAGAAATCAGGCTGTAAGGGTAAAGTTTATGCACTTACAAGGGCCAGCATCATCATTCAAACAACCCACAGCTGATGATATCTGATGGGTGTTCTCTCGACCATCCTAGCTTCAACTGCAGTGAGAAAGGGGAAGACAGTACAAACTTGACAGTGGGGCCAACAGAGTCATTAAAATGGCTATTGGGAATTTCCTTTCTGCAAATGTGAAAAGCAAATAGTGAGTCTTTTGCATTGTTTTCTTGTGTTGCTTTCAGTGCAGCATTGATCTTCTGTTTTACTTGCCTTGATGCGTTACAGCAAACACGAGATTTATTGTGGTGTGTTGAATTAACATCAGTTTCTCTGGTCAGAGTTTATTTCAAGTATATGCATGGTAACTTCTGGTCAGGCAAAATAAGCCTCTTATGTTCTTCAATGTCAATGTGGTGACAACCACTGTAGCAAGTTGGTGCAAATATAATGACATGACATTGACCCCTAGTCACACTAGTTTTCGTGGACTTTACGCACGAGTCCACATCTCTATTTTGACATGTCAAATCAGCAAATAAAATGAAACCTTTGCTTGCCATTCTTGTAACAAATCAAATTCTATTGATGCTACTGGCCACAAAGGGAACTTTTTTGAGGACCTGAAACAACCGTTGTTTGAAAACTTTGAACTGTTTTTTTTCCCATTTCAAAGGCCAATAAATAAAAATGTGGCCTCTGCTGGAGCCATTTATTCAGCTGTCTGTGCTGGAAACTGTTTTGTCTCTGTCAACATCAAGTGTTTTGGCTGGGACAGATACATTTCTGGAGATACTGGACCCTTAAAATGGCTTTTCAGGTGAGCTGTATTTTAGTCCTCCAAAAAAAAATATGTCACTTGGGAAGCCTTTTTTTTTTTAGGGCTAAAATACAAGAATTCTCAGTTCTGAAAACATAAAACATTTTACAGAACTTAATTTTGGAACGATTAATAGGTCAACTCTGATCAAAACCTGACACAACACAGCAGCACTACTCTCTGAAATGACATTTCACCAGCAACATTAAAACTGTAACAAATTCTTGCATCTTAAAAACACAGTAAAATAAGAAAATGCTTACCTGATAAAGATTTTAAAAAGTTCATTCATGCTCCCAATACTTGGAGGGTGAACTACCTTATGCTCTCCTTACTGGTCTTCTTAAATCGACTATGAGACATTTGCAACTTTCAAAACGCTGCTGCTAAAATACTGACAAATGGCATGAAGGAAAACTCATCGCTCCAGTTCTTAGATCCTTGCACTAGCTTCTGTTGAAAGATAGAACTGAATTAAAGGCCAGACTTATTCTATCTATGTTTCTTAATGGTCAAACTAAAAATATGTACTACTATACGTCTGATAGGCCTCTCGATCCGCAGGGACTGGTCATGTACTGGTGTCAAGTTCAAACCACAGATGGAATCAAGTCTGCTTACAACTTAGATATGACCCACCTGTAGCCATTTTTTGAAACAAAGCTGTTTTTACTGCTTTAATAAATATGCTATGCCTGTACGGTACTAAAGTTGTTCTTACTTTTATTTGTTGTACTTTATCTTTAAATCTTTTTATTTTTTAAATTCCTTTCATATGAATTAAAATGTTTTTTTTTTAATCCATTTACCTCCCTTTCTAAACATTTTAATGCACTATATAAAGCACTTTGAGTTGCTAATGTGTGTAATGTGCTATGCAAATAAACTTGCCTTGCCTCAAATGTGGGAAGCCTGATGATGAGTTTGATTTCCCCAGGGCCCACAAGAAAAAGTACCTGTATGACAAGTATCGTTTCGCCCCTGCACTGCTGAACTCGAAGCCTTACTTCTAACTAAAGGCACAGTCACTACACATTTTAGCAATGCTTTGAAATACGTTCATGCACAACAAATAAGGCAGTAACAAAGTACCACATCAAACCTTTATAACGAATGCATTACAAAGTCCTATAATAACAGGGATAAAGCATAATAAGCATGTTTAGCAGTATAGCTGTACAGGAGCTTTCAAACAATCCTCCTGCAGATTGAATTCACCGATTGTCATAAAATTGCAAAAGTTTAAAGTTTCAGTTTTGTGAACAAAGGTTTTACCATGGATAAGAGCTCAGAAAAAAAAAAGTAACTGGGCAGATTCCTGCTGATAAGGATCATCTGATGTGATAAAAAAAAAAAAAAAGCTCCAGAACTCCGACAATACTGAGTGGATCCTGAGTATCACAGCTGTTTATATCACTGTTCTCATTTTATGTGACAGCTTACATAAATGTGGTATTAACAGTGTGGTGCTTCATGTAAACATTATGAATAGAGAGTGTTATGGTTGTCACAATAGTTTTATCTTCATAACAGCTTGTCTGCTTATAGTCAGTTAAAGTTGTATTAATAAAATCTGAACAAATCAAATGACATCAGTGTTTCTGCAGCCAGCTTGACTTTTTTTTTTACTGTTATAGTGCCAATAAAAAAAAAACAGAAAACATTCACCCCCTTTGGAAGCTTTTCCCTTTTATTACTTTCCGCATTGAATCATGGTCAATTTTATTAGGCTTTTTTGATCTTTTGATATTCATCCATCCATCCATTATCTATACACCGCTTAATCCTCACTAGGGTCATGGGGGGCTGGAGCCTATCCCAGCTGACTTAGGGCGAAGGCAGGGGACACCCTGGACAGGTCACCAGTCTATATCATCACATACACTCAGTCCCCACTGTGAAGCATGGTGGTGGCAGCATCATGATGCGGGGATGCTTCTTGGCAGCAGGCCCTTGAAGGCTTGTAAAGATAAAAGGGCAAATGAATGCAGCAAAGTAAATCCTTTAGAACAACTTGATGCAGTCTGCAAGAAAACCTGGACTTGAGCGAAAATGTGATATTAGCAAGATAATGACCCAGAGCACTCGGACAGTTACACAAATGGTTTAAATACAACAACGTGAATAATCTGCAGTTGCAGTCAGAGCGTAGATGTCAATTAACTGAGAACTTGTGGTTGGATTTGAATAGAGCTGTTCACTTGCAATCTCTGTGCAACCCGACAGAGCTTGAGCAGTTTTGCAAAGAATAGTTGGGTAAAATTGCAGTATCCAGATGTGCAAGGCTGGTTGAGAAAGGCTAAAATTGCAGCCAAATATACATCTACTGAGCACTGACTTGAAGGGGATGAACAATATATGCAATCACTTATTTTACCTTTTTTTTTTCCTTTAAAAAAATAAAAAATAAATAATAATAATAATTGGAAGTACTTTGTAGTTGTTGTTGTTGATGTTTTCATTTTGAAAGTCTGAAAAACAAACAAACAGAAAAACAAAAAACACTTCAACGCTGAAAAGAAATAAAAGGGGAAAACTTCCAAGGGGACTAAATACTTTTCTTTTCTTTTTTTTTTAAACAGTCACTGTTTGTATTGTGCAGCATCAAGACACAAAACAACCAGATTTCTTACTTCACTTGAAACAGTGCATTAGCTGTCATAAGGCCTTACCACAGACAATACAGAGCCATCCATTATGGACACAAGAAGCTCCGCAGTGTTCCCACCTGTCATGAAAAATGGACAATAGCATTATTTAACTTAGGTTGTCTTATAAATAATGAAGTCTTATGATGCACTGTGCAAGTTTTGTTGATCAGACAAGTTGGAAATAGTTGCAGTGGAAGAAGAAGTAGCAATACCAACAGAAATGAAGTAAACAGTGAAAGAATTCACCCTGAAATGGTGTAACTAAGTACAGCTGAAAAGTTCATTCGCAAAAACAGATAACTCCATTTTTGTATATTTTTAGAAAAAATATTTTTTGTTGTTTGCTTGAGATCATATCAATCAAAGTGAAGTTGAGTGGATGTGACTCGGTAGAAATGACATAACAAAAATAGAGATGACTTAAGTTTGATCGATATTGTCTCAAGTAGACGATGGAAAAGTGGGTTTTCTGAAGGTTTGTGAAGATGGACTTATCTATTTTTGCAAACAAACTCTTCAGTTTCTCCAATACTTCAACTAAATTTATGGAATTCATGATATGGGAATCATTTTTTCCACCACTGTCAGACCATCAGACATGACATGATACAAACTGAGATGTTTAAAGGTTTGAAGAAGGAAGTTTAGACTTCTACATGGAGCCCTTGAAGGCAGCATTGTGTTTTCTCAGAGCTTTCCGCTTAACAGTTAATGTCTCTGCTGGCCGTCCTTTTCCTTCTCCTCCCACACAGACAAACCAATATAAACATTTCTGTACAGTGAGGATACTCCCCAACTCTCAGGTTCCCTACAGGACTCAGCACACGGGCAGAGATGGCACTAACCGAGCGACAAAGTTCAACTTTCCCTGAGATAGTGGAGCTGAACGTGGGCGGGCAGGTGTATGTGACCCGTCTGGAGACTCTCACCGCGGCGCCCAACTCTCTCCTCTGGGCCAAGTTCACCCAGAGCTCCCCGGCGGAGCTGCCCAAAGATAGCAAGGGCCGCTTCTTCTTCGACCGGGACGGCTTTCTCTTCCGCTACATTCTGGATTACTTGCGCGACTCGGAGCTTTTCCTGCCCGAGTTTTTCAAAGAGAAGCGGAGGCTACAGAAGGAAGCGGACTTCTTCCTACTGCCGGAGCTGTCGAAGCGCCTGGCGGCGGCCAGCAAGGACAGCTCGTACACGGAGGACAGCGGGGACCCGGAGGAGGCTGAGCTGCCAAGCCCGGTCACCTCCTCCTCGGACCGGGCGCTGCGCTCCCCCGGGGCCAACGCGGGCTTCATCACCGTCGGCTACAGAGGCAGCTACACCATCGGGAGAGACATCCAGGCGGACGCCAAATTCCGCAGGGTGGCCAGAATAACCGTGTGCAGCAAGATCTCTCTGGCCAAAGAGGTGTTTGGAGAAACCCTGAACGAGAGCAGGGACCCGGACCGGCCGCCTGATAAGTACACCTCCAGGTACTACCTCAAGTATAACTTCCTGGAGCAGGCGTTTGACCGGCTGGCCGACGCTGGCTTCCACATGGTGGCCTGCAGCTCCACCGGGACCTGCTCGTACGGCAGCAGTGATCCCGGAGAGGACAAACTGTGGACCAGCTACACCGAGTACGTGTTCTGCCGATGAGCGCGTAGGAGTGCGTTCAAGCTCAACCCGGGGGAATAAAAAACATTAGTTGCATTAATTAACACCCAAAAGTGGCAGTTTAAGCTTTCGGTTTCTTCTGTTTTTGTCACTCTTGTGCTCACAATAGGATCAGGATGCAACCAGAGCCAACTTTTCTGGCGTTTGTCTCCTTTCCCCTGCTCTAAATCTCATTGTGGGAAAGCAAAGACAAAGTGACTTCTCTGATATGTCACTGAGTCCTCAGCTGGGTTATTTTAAGGCCTCATAACCTTTCTGGCTTTTACAAAGGCTGTTTTGTTCTTGAGCAAATGAGACAAATGGTTCCTCTGGGTGGCGGAAATGTTTGGAGCTGCTTTCTTTTGATCCTTCCTGAGTTGTGCTTGCATCTTCATGTTACTGCAGAGAGGCTACCGGGAAACACGTCGGCTAGGACTTGCACTGTAAATAGTCTGGTTTTGACCTGTAGCGTGCTCCTGTAATCTACCTTTATCTTCCCCTGCCTTTAATTTTGTATATTGAGTGGTTTCGATGGTGTGGCTCTTTTATTATTGCTTACAGTACCACTGCTTTCAAAATTACACAATGGGATGTTTTTTTTGTGTGCCATCTTTGGGTGGATGTAATTGTTTTCTGCTTAGATATAAAGGTACAGCAAATAAAGTGTGACATTGGAACATTTTTCACCTCATTGTCATTTTGGGTTTCATGCAAAAAAAACAAAAAACTTTTTTAGGATCTGTATTTTGTTCAAATGCTCCAATGCTTCTCTTCAGTGCACACACGTTTCCTAAATCATCTTATGTGGGTCCTTTTGTAGAAATTTTCATCCAGTCATTTCCATTGAAACATTCATCGAGCATCCCTTGTGTGATCAGCAAACTTTTACAAGTTCTGACATGTTAGACATCTGATACATCTTCACTAGATAACAATGCCATCAAAAGGACTGGATGAGATTCTGACCTGATTGATATTATGCCATATTATTATTTTTTTTTTTTTACTTTAAATGGGACATTTACACATTGTGAATTCTGAGAGAGGATGTTCTGAATTGAAGCTGCCTTATAGCATACACATTCTACCAATGAGTCATGTTTTTCAATGGGAAGGCTGACATCAGTCATGGCTCAAATAGCACTACAATATAGACATGATAGATAAGTTGTCTTCATTTAAATCTCCATTGGGAATTTTCTGATTTCTGCATGTTAGTTATGATTTAAACCAAACTGTAGCAGAGTAACACCTTGCATTCTCCTTTTCCCCCACTGAGGCCTATAACATTGAATCTTTGTAATATTTTTACTACTGCTTCAGCTGCACGACTTTCCCCTTTTACCACAGATTTTCTTATGCTGAAACCAAAATGAATGTGGACGAATCGTAGCCATAAACAGATCTTACTTGCCGATCTGGCACAACAGAGCAGAGTGTCCTTTCTGTGCAACACAGCCGAGTTCTGTTATCTCCCCTGGGCAGGATGGGAAGGAGAAGGAGGGGGGATTTCTCTTTGGCTGACAAGTACAGTAATCAAATGTCTGTTCTCTGGTGGGATCCTGGGGCACAAATCCAAGCTCTCCCAGGATCAATACAAAAAAGGCTTTGTGTGGGTTGTGTTAGAGTGTACTTGAATACAAATGTACTAAAAAAAATAAATCTGCAAAATGAATCATTTATTTGTAAAATGTCCAGGAGCATCTAAAGTGGTTACTGTGAAATATGTTATGGAGGGGCTTTGTTCTCTAAGTCTTTAAATGCAAATACACACAAATGCACGCTCACTTCTCCAAACGCCCCAACCACCCACACACACTTCTGCTACCGAGGAGCTTCATGAGAGCCTCAAAGATAGACATGTTCGTATGCTGTCAGCTGATGCTGCCATCTGGACAGGAAAAAGGAAGGATCGACTGCAACTCTTCCTCCAGCGTGATCTCCAGAAACAGGACGTGGAGCTCGCTGTCCTCGACCGAAACAAAACAAGCGATGCTCAGCAGAATCAGACACATACTGATAATACCCGTATTATCACGAGAACACCAGATGTTGCTTTAGATTGCTCTGAGAGGCGATGATGCTCTCCAATACTTTACGTCTTACATTCTGAACTAAAACCACGTGCCATGAGAGTGACAAATGTTGGTCAAAGACACTTTGAAGGCTTACATTTAAACTTCCCTTGCTGATAGTGAATTTATTTGCCAAGCAGTTATTTCTAATACAGACCTTGTTCTGTGTGTGGTTTTTCATCCTTGGTGATAAAACACCTCCAAAACACATTTCACTTGATGTATGCTATTTTTTTTCCCTCTCTCTCTGTACAAAAAACTAACACACTTATGAATACGCCGAGTGCACGAGGGAGAGAGATAAAGAGAGCCAAATTAGCCAATTTGCAGAGCTGGAGATAACACAGACCTGCTGGCTTTCTTCATATCAGCCTCTATGTGCTAAATCTTTCACACTTTCTCTCACAGTCGCTGCCTCTTAACTCACTGTGGTCGGAATGTTTTTAATACTGCATATATTTTTTGTTAATTCCATCTCCAGTGCCTCTGACAGACATCTCACACTGTTCACAGTGGAAACAACACATGAATAATTAATTCAAGCTGTGTTTCTCTTTGTTTAGATCAGGTGTGAGAGCAGAAAATAAAATATGATTGCCCTTAGGTAAATGCAGGAATATACTTCCTTCATTTGGTGATACCTGAAAAATATCACTTACAGTAAAGTTCCTTTACTGCTAGCAAAGACATTACAATACACTTAACAAAACTGTGCAATGTGGTATTTTTTAAGCACTTAAGCTTACTGTAAAGCAAGATGACCTTAATTAGCATATTTTGAGCAATTTTACTTTGAGCAATTGTTTCGCCTTTTAAAAAATTACAGATAGCTTTCTGTTAGAAACTGAATGTTTCTGAGACCTTTATAAAAGTAACAGGAAGAAGTGAGGGTATAATTTTGCCTTGTGATAAATTTTCTGTTTGATGCAAATCACTGATAATCAATCTACTACTGCAACCACCCAGAAGTTTTTGCTGCAGCAAAGTACCAGTAACGTGCAAAACATCTTATGATCCAGAAATTATCCAAATCTATTTAGTACAGTAATAAGTCCTAATTGAGCAAAAAAATCTCTCAACTTCAAAACAAAGCTGACTTTATTTGAAATGGCTACATTTTATCCATCCATCCATCCACCATCTATACACCCCTTAGTCATCACTAGGGTATTTTATTCATGTATACACCACAAATTCAATAACTGGGGAAATTAAAACAATTTAAAAAAAAATCTAAAATAACCTTTAAAGAAACATTGTATATTGTATGTTTGCTGAATAAAAAGCTACAGCCAGCAGCAGGTTAGCTTAACTTAAATTCTGCAAAGTGGTACCTCTAAGCTCACAGTTGACCTAAATAAAACCTCGACTTCTTGTTTTTAAACTTCAGCTTTTGAACAGATTTAACAAATGAGATGTTAATTAAATCATAAACTTAGCTTCATATTTACCATAAAGGCATGGATGTGGTATTACTCTTCTCATGGAACTTGAGGGAAGATGGCAAATATGTGTATTTCTCAAAATGCAGCTGTTCCTTTAAAGGTTTATCTGTGATCCAACACAAGAATGGAATCTTTCCTCTTGACAAACTGATTGGTATTTATTTCACTCGCATAATTAAATTATTTTCCATCCAAAATGGTTAAAAAATGCAGAGTGGCCTAAGATCTCCGTCTTGAACTTGGTCCACTTGGATCATGTGACTTGGCTCATTTATCATGGACGTACTGAGACTTTGAGCACCTTCAGGACTTGTCATTTATGTTAATTTAAAAGCTGACACTTTATTTTTAACCTCGGAAACAACAGCTGGCAAAACAGTGTCAACTCAAAGTCCACCTACTCCCTAGTACTTGAGCTTTTTTCATTGCTCTTTGAAGTCTTCAGTTATCTTGGTATTTTAACACGTCATTGTTTGAATAAACCTTTTTCACCGTTGATGGCTAATGTAAAGTACACATCCTGCAGCAGAGCACAGTTACAAGACTCTATCACTGTAGACTGTTCATGTTTGATAACCACCTGAATACATAATTAACACAGTTAAGTGTCTGTGTTACCAAGCAGTGAGGCCATTAAGGGTCCACACATTCCTTGAATCATTAACACTTCCTAGAAATGTGTTTGGATAATAAATAAATGCGTATGTATGTCTCATTATGTGGAATATGATGCATTGCTGAACTTTTCTCTTTCTACAAAGTGCACCAGCATTTTTCACAAGAAAACAAACATTCTCTTTCAGAAATCCTTCCCTGGAGCAGCAGTCTGGCAGAGCTACTAAAACACTGTTTAAGCCACAATCCATCATTTGAAAGCTCAGCTATACTCTTGAAATGTGACACTCTAATCCATAGCAATTTAGTGCCAATATTTTTCATTCAGTAGCATCATTCAGTTTTACAATCTGACAATCCTGTTATTGTCACGGTGGATTGCGGTGATATTTCACCCAGTTTCCCCCTTTACGTTCGAGAGTACTACATGTCTGTGTGTTTAAGGAGAGCATGGCATTCGATCACTGCGCACAAAAAGGAGGTAAGACGCAGGAAATTAAAGCAATAATGAATTCCAGTCAGAACTTTGCTCCCCCTGCAAGCCCGACATAAGCCTGCTTGATCCTCTGAAGTCGCAGCAGTAAGACAGACAATCCTGCAGCAAGCTTCTGTTCCTCCAGTTCGCGGTAATGATGACCACAGCATAACATAGAATAAAAAATAATGAAAACCACAGATTTAATCACAAAATTGTGGTCAATGGTTCTTCTTGTTTTTTTTGGAAACTGCAAGTGACCTTTATCAAGTACAAGACAGTTCATCTTTTCAGTTCAGCTGTGTGCAAGAGCTTGAAACAAATGTGATTTAATTTATGTTAACTTAGGGTAACTTTTTACTGTTTTTACTGAGTTGTAGAAAAAAAATGGACGAGTATAATGACATCTGACTTAAAATGCAGCTTGTTAGTATATGTGAAATACCAGTGAAGAGTTCAGTAAGTTCTGCTGTTTAAATGTTCCTCTGGATACTGTCTGACTGTTGCATGGAATGTGTTTGCTTTCGAAACGCTTCAAAGTTGCATGTCTCCACTAACAGCCAAACGGAGGATAAAAGCCAGGTATAGCTACAGACAGAGAGATTAAAATCTGTGATCCTCCAGTGGCTGTGTTATCTGTCTCCTTCAAGGACTCTACCTCTGTGCCTCTGACCATAAAGCTCTTTCTCCCCTGTCAGCTCTGTGTAGTTTTTGTCGGGTAGAGGGAGGGTGTAAATGTCGCCAGTCTCCGCTGAGCTGCTCCCAGCGCCCAGCAGCAGACCGGAGATTGGTGTGGGTCCCAGTAACAAAGCTGAGGCTTGCACTGTGCCTGTAAACTAAAAGGTAAAAGGCTGCCAGCATCAATCAGCTGCAGGGAATAGAGAGGAAGAGAGCGAGTATCCTCATCTCCTGCTGGTGTTGCAGTGCGCTTCCTTTCACAAGAAGTGCAGCCCCTCTCCTCTGCCTCCCTCTCAGAGCTACTTGAAAGGGCAAGACGTGAAAGAAGCCAATTCAAAGTCCATCACTAAACAGCTCATCATCCTCACTGTTTATTTGTGAAACTTATTAAAGTCATCTGAAAATAAGTTTCTATGCATCTTTAAAAAATGTAAGATACTGAATTATTTTGTACTTTGTGCAACGTATTGCAGCAAAAAAAGTATTTCACTTCAGTGACTGATTCTGAAGGAAATATCTAAATTATACTAGCAGCTCGTATGCAACTTTGCATGTTTTTCTAAGTTTAAAGATGATTTCGCTCAATGCAATATAAAATAATAGCATAATCTAGGCTTTTTCTTCTGTCATTTTGTTGGTCTGCCACCAAATTGAAATCTGTCATTAACTGCTGGAAGGACTGCCATGAAATTTACAGACATTTGTTGTACCCAGAGGTTGAGTCCTAATGACTTTGAAGATTCATTGACTTTTCCATCGTCTGGTCAGAATTTGTCCATTTGCTACGGTAGTCCAGACCTAAATCTGTCATTAACTGCTGGAGGGACTGCCACTGAATTTTCAGACATTCATTGTACTGAGAGGATGAGCCCCAATGACTTTGATGTTTGCTTGACTTTTCCATTATCAGGTTAGAATCTGTCCATTTACTGTGGCATTCCTATCAGCAGCTGTAATACACTTTGTGTTGTGAGAAACAAGTATTAGCATGTCAACATCCAAAAGAGGGCTGTGACCACAGCTGACCATAGCTGGTCTTCACATTATAAGCATGTTAGCATGCTGATGTCAGCATTTACCGTAATGTCCGGACCATAAACTGCTACTTTTTTCACACGCTTTGACCACAGCGGCATAAAAAAATGATGCGGCTAATCTATGGATGTTTACGATTTTTACGAATTTGCCTCAAGACGAAAGTGACATTGAGAGTGACAACGAAAGAGAGACTGAGGAAGTGTGTGACAAAGTAATTCTGAGGCTGTTCAATTCCGACACTGAAGAAGACGAACTTCGTGGTTTTAGTGCGCAAGAGGAAGATAAAGATAGCGATCAATGACTTTTCCTGGAAGGCTACTGTATTTTTTTATTTTTTTGACCAGCCCTGTTACAGGCGCTGTACGGGAAAAAAGCATTTACGGTACATATTTGTGTATGTTTCTGCTATGTATTTAAGTTTAAAAAAATCTGTCTGTCTGTCTCATGTTTCAATGTGGACACCTGCGGCTTATAGACACGTGCGGCCTACATATGCACAATTTTTTTTTTCTTTTTAAAGTTAGTGTGTGCCGCTTATATTCAGGTACGTTCAATAGTGCAAAAATTACAGTAGGTCAAAGAAACACTGCGCTTACTTGAACCTCACACAGCCACATGCTTTTTTGTTATTTCATACTGAGTAAGTGTGACAGCATTTTGAAAAGTGCTGATTTCTAGACCCCTAAGAAAACGTTTCTTTTCTTTAGCCCTTGTACGTAACTTATGACCTAATGCACCATATTCCGTCTCGATTTAAGCAGAAGTGAGCTTTGTCAAAACAGGTTCCAGTTCAGCCTTCCTGACTGTCTGTTGAGGTGGATGTGTCTGTCACTGTGCCTGTGTTTGGACTCTGGATAATGTCACAGCCGTGATGTTTCACTCTGACGAAACACTGATATCTGCAAGGCCCAGACCCGCCTACTACTTCTTCCTATTTTGCCCAGATAGTGCACAGGCAGCCTAATGTGGAGCTACACTGCAACAGTTAACAGAAATGTACACAGATGAATTTAGAAGCACATTTGTAACTTAAAACTACTCTGTTAGGCTGTAACAAGGCCTGCTCAAAGTCTCAGTTTGACAGCTTTACCAAATTGTTCACTGTAATGTTTGTGTGCTGTAAAATTTCAAAACACTCAAACCAATTTTCCCTAAAATCCAACATTTGTAGAGATAAACCTAATAAGATTGACACAGGTAGGAAACTTTTAACTAATGATAAAAGATTTGTCCAACCAAACTAAACTTTGTTGGAAGAGATCTGAATGAAGAACATTTCCTCCAGAGACAACATAAAGCAGGTTTCAAATAGTACTAGAAATACACAGCTTCAGGGCATCTCGGAAGTTCTCTCATGTTAAAAAAAAACAGTCTTTAGGTACTTTCCTTCACCCAAAGGAAGCAAGAAGCCTTGAAAATACTCTAGATTTTTGATCGCGACCCAGGTCAGGGTTTTCCACTTGGCTGCTTTGCAATCATGTTTTAAAAAAGAAAAATAGCATCAGTAGCTTTTGGAAAATGTTGTGGTGATGCTCAGAACAGATCTCTCCCATCATGTGTGTCACGGTTTTTGACTAAGACTTTGTCGGTTTTATCAGATTTAAAAACATGCATCCTGTGCGGCAACCTCTATCATTTCTCAAACGTATACATTTGCATTATTCTGCTGCAGTCCACTTGTATCTGTTCCAGATGTTTTCTAGCTCATATGAAGATAACACTGATGGGTGAGTGCAATCTTCTTTAAAGTCTTGCAGATTATTATTATTATTTTTTTTGTTTAGGCACCCCCCAGCAGTGGGAATGTTTGAGATGACTGCTTTGTAAACACTGTCCGCACAATGTGCTTAATCGCCCCGCTCCCAAACTAAATTTGAACCAACTGTCTAAATGTGCAGCCTTCCTGTCCTGCTTCAACCCTCTGCCGTTTCCTGCTTGCTGTACTCGTGGTATTTAAATGGGTCAGGCTGGAGTCACAAGTGTCATCCTACACAGATGGAGCATTTCAGATACTGAAAAATGTCTCCACAAGTGCCTTTGGGGAACTGAACTCTCCCATCCAAAAGACCAGGTCACAGTTAACCGTAAAAACATTTCCATTCATTAAACCAAGAGCACTGAATGACCAGTGTTTAACATCTCAGTGCAACCGTGTCTGTCCACAGAGAGCTCATCGTTCCAACAACCAATAACATGATAGTTGCTGCTGCAATGACCTAGATAACATCTCTGACGCTTTTCTTGCAGCTTCCTTTCCTCACCTCAGAGTGTTCTACCTTATCCAAGTTGAAACGGTGGCATCGAGAAAAGTCAGACCAGAGTGTCACTGTGAACTGCAGCAGATCTGTACTGGCAACACAACTTCCTTATTTGAATGAAATGCTGGCTTTGTGCTCCTCCACTACTGACATAATAGTTAAACTAATGCAAAGTGACCTTCCTCATGACTCAAAGAAAGGTCACCTGTAGCTCTGAGCAAACTTTTTTTTTTCCCCTTGAAAACAACAGACTCCTCTTAAATTTAAATGTCAGAGTCCAAATCTACCATGGCACTTCCCCATCGCAAGGCCTGCGGACAGTAAACTTTCTCTTCCTTTTTGTCGCTCTAACCTTGCTTCACCAATTTCCTCTAAGTCAGTTGACCCAAATACCACAAAAAACATCTTCAAACGCTTTTCATTTTTACAAGCTTTTCATTGGAATTTTTCTATAAATGGAGAAGGTGCCTGCTGGTGTTTTACAGTCAATAATCTAAAAAAATAATAATAAAAAAAATGTTCCTCCATACTCCAGTAGAGAAATAACTAGTGTGCAGTGAAATGATTAAACTATTCATACAAATGGATACATGTGTATATTAGTGACTTGTCTGCTCTTTGAAGCAGTTAGATCTGGACTGTGTTGTGGATGAGAAATGGCATGAAGAATGACCTCACACAGATATGCTATCATTTATGATAAAAGCCTTGTCACTACAGTAAAGTAAAAAAAACAAAAACACAACGCAGAGTAATTCTCTTAAAACATACAACACTTATCAGTAATTTGAACAAAGAAGGCATTCATTGGTGCTGTTTCATGGCACTGATAAAACAAACCAAAAAAATCATAATAATGGAAGTAATTACTTCTACTTCCCTATTTGAAAAGTATTTTAAAGTCACAAATATATGCAACAACTGCTTATACACAAACAAAATGTTGTTGCATTACACAACAGATTAGAAGAACAACCACAGATGCACTCTATTTCCTAGTTCTGTTGACCTTTAAATCACTGTATTCTTTTTATGTAATCTATCTTTTGCCAGCTGTTCATTCTTGTTTAGTAGTGTACAGTGCTATTGTAGTTGCATAAAATTATATCAGTAAATGCTACAAGAACCTGCACCTTAAATTAATCTTTTTAAAAATCCCATATGCCATGAAGAAACAACAAAATATAGTCGTATTATCCTCTACTGAAGCAAACATTTTTAAAAAAAAAAGTCACTGCTTTGTTGGTGTGACTTTAAACTATCTAGGCATATTCAAAGACATTTCTACCTACAGTGCAACACGGAAATTTCAGCTTCACTATGCAACCAATGATGCCACCGTGTGGTACACAAATGAATCACAAATAAAGAGCCCTTCTTGATTATATTCAGTGCACTTTATTTACAAAAAGGACATTTCAGTTAAGATGCCAATTTTCATGTGACAAATATATATATATATATATATATATATATACCAGTGATTTATCCCAATGTGCGCGTGGTGAGTTTACAATAGAACAGAAAGTGCTTCAGTAAAATGTGCTTTCATGCCTGGGTTACAATAACAGCCTCTTACGAAATTATCTGATATCTCTAATGCACTATTGGGTAAAGAAAAAAGACAGCACACAGATGCCACAAATAGCAACACTATCATTAAAATTAAATCAAACAATAAGTCCCATCATTACTTTATTTCATATATTAAATCTAAATTTCCTTGGAAATAAATTAGCAGAAAAAAAGAACAGTCAAACTATGTGTCGTCTAATTGATAAAAACAGCGATTAAGAATCATACTTGCTTGTGGATTCACAGGTTGTCGAGATTTATGTTGTAGCATGGATTAGGAAACAGAAGTCAGATTGGCTATGAGGATGATATCATCTCATTTATTCTTCAATCTGGAGTACAGCATGCTGGTCACATGGGGAGGGCACCAGTGTCTAAAATGTAATATAAATAGAAATTAATTGAGTTTTACCTCATTCAAGACTGTCAATAATCCTACATTGAGACCAGAGATAATTTTAGAATTATATTGTCCACAAATTTGCTTTAAGTATACATGTGGAAATAGTTGTTGCTTTTCCACAGCAAGGAAATTAACCATAAAAGTAGCAACTGTGTTGACAGAGAGTCTAACAGAAGCAGAAAATATCTATCTAATCTAAAAAAGCAAATGATGTGTGGTGCAGAAACTGTGAGGTGTGACATGTTTCTGAGAAAATCGCTGAGGTCAGTGTCTCACAAAGACCAATACTCACACTTGAGTTGGAAATAGCAGAGCTCACAGTGGAGCTTCCTGTTTCGGATTCGGACCTGGGCTCCAGTCTCTGTTCCTCCGAGATGTCGACAGCAGCCCACACACTGAGAGGAGGACGCAGAAGTGAGAAAAGAATTCAGGGACGACTTAAGAGAAATCCTGCTGACCTGTAACGTGGGCCTATTGTGTCTAAATCATTTCACCAGATTGTCCGCCACCAAAGTTCACAACAACTAAGCTTTGTTTTTGCATGAAAACACGTGAGAGTACAGAAATATTACAGTTACAGAAGTGAACGGACTTTTTACATCTGCATGCTAATGAACCTAGGTCACTGGTTCCACAGTCGGTGAGACTTTTATAATAAGCACCTAAAAGCGAAGCAGGACAGTGGGCAGGCTTCCTCCGACCAACTAATGCACCAAACAAGCAACTGAGAGAGAAATGGCGCACAGCACTACTACAGACCAACAGTCCAGAAGCACTACAGACTAGAAAACAGACTGTTAGCAAAGAGAAAAGTATAGAACGGTGTCAGAAATGCTCCCACTACCAAAAGCAGAAAGCTGATATTGTGTGATTAGAATACAGACTACTTTGAGACTCCTGCTGACTTCACTGAAGATAAGGTGTGGTCACATTAGTCTTAAAGTTTTCCCACAAAGGACACCCCAAAAAAGCATGTCAGTAATACGCAGTGGGCATAATGATGGTGGATGTCAGATTTCCCTCCAAAGGTTGTGCAAATTCTACAGAAAACATCTATGAATATTAGGTTATTTCCTAATACTCGCAACAATTTGCGGCACTAATTCTGCAAACGAGTGCCATCAAAGTGCTGCAAAAGAGGAGATGATGCAATTAAAAGGAGCGAAACATGTCTGGTTTGTTTGAACTATATTAACTGTATTTAGAAGTTTTTGGTCTACAGCTCATGCAGTCATTTTCAGATCTGTTCTCCAAATAATGTGACTGACTTGACTATTTGTTTCATGCTCACATGTTCTCGTCTGCTCCAGTGAAGAGATGAAAATGGCAGCAGGGTCTTGGATGACAAATGAATCACTTGCTTCACGTACTTCATGATTTATTGTCGTTTCCATTTGTTGCATTCTGTTTAGAAATGACACACTGTCTCCCTGCTCTCAGCTAAGAGTGAAAATGTTTTTGTATCTGGGACTTTAAAAGTAGAAAATTAAAATGTGTATAATAACAGGTGCAAGGAAATGCACTTGAGAAATGAGAAATGCATTTTTTTTGTTTCGTAAATGCGATTTCACACTACAAGAGCAGTCTCACACAACAGATCACGGTTTCTATTCTAAACGCACAGATCTCAGCTTAGAAAAAGATGAACTCTGACCTGTGAGACTGAAGGACCTTGTACCAAAACTGGAATCGCTTATAGAAGTGACCGAGAGCTGGAGTAGTTATTCACAGCAATTGGAGCTATTGTGACCGCACCTTAACCCGTTCATGACCTCTCACCTGGAAACAGGCGAGGTGGAAGCAGAGACTAAGGGCCTCTATGACCATGGCTGCCCCACTACCCAGGACACGCTCACACACACTGCAAGTCCTCCTGCCACTGACCATCCTGGGGCATCACATGTTAACAGTATGAGGCCAAAACATCAGGCAAGATATAGAAAATAACACATGCACAAGGCTCCATATTCATGTGAATTACCTACCTGCCATTAGGAGATGGGTCCATGGATGTGTTTCTTTGGGACAACATTGCTCCAGTGCTGTAGCGGGAACAGGAGTTCCTGCTCGGAGCACAGAAACCTGCAGCGGCCGAGTGCGGACGAGGGTAACTCGGGAACATAGCCGGTGAGACTGGGGACTGACGCAAAACATCCAGGTTGTCCAGCGAGTCATATCTGCAGAAAAGACATCACAGCTCATGAAACGGTGCAAGGAAGTCCTTAACACCCATTTAGAATGAGGTACCAATACTGGACCCACCTCTTCATAGGAACCCCAACATAGATGGGCTCCTTGTAAAAGCTGCTGCTGCGCTGACGGATCCAGCTGTTGTCGGTCAGAAGCTGAGTCCTTTTCTTCATTTCGTCCAAAATCTGCTGCCGTTCCTGCTCGACCTTGGAGACAGATTGTCCTTTTCTGTTCCTCTGATCACCTGGACCTATCAACATTTGGGGGGGTTAGGACAGTATGTCTTTAGAACAGAGGGGAATATGATAGCACGAAGAGTGAACTGACCTTTTGACTGTTTGTGGGAGACAGCCAGTACTGGGGTGGACAAGGACTTTGCCCTGTGGGAGAAACACAGTACACATAAAAATGTCTTATTTGTAAATCTTAGATGAGATTTTTATTTTTTTATTTTTAAAAAAAAAGGAAAATCTCTCTTTTAGCATGTGCAGGTCGTGTCTCCTTTCATGAAAGGCAATTCATTATTCTAATAAACGATAAACTTGACATGCCGCACCAGGACCTTCATGTCTAAAGCTGAATACTGAGAGCAAATAGCTGTAGTTTGAAGCCGTACAAAGTCTTTGAAAATAAGTGAAAACTGGGCAAAGCTTGTTCTGACCTGTGTGCAGGGGACAACTGAGCGAAGCCACAGGAGCCATCAGCCCTGAGATACAGCGAGAGCAGCAAGAAAGGCGAAGCAAAAGCAACAGGTGGTGCAGCAACAGCAGCAGCAGCAATGTAAAAAAAGAAATTACATTTCTCAGACTATACTTTGTCTGCACCGAATGAATTTTGGGGATATTTAAAACAAGAAAAAAGCTTCCTTTACCAGTCTTTTTCAGCCATCTTGTCATCCTGCAGTCCTTGTACATTACTTTGAGGTTTTCCTCCTGCATCTTTCAGCTCTCCTCTGTTGGGGCTCAGCTCTTCTCCTATGGATTTGTTTGTCAGTCCATTCACATGGAGCTGAGTGCAGACAGGACTCCCCCCGCCACTGTTCATCTCAAAGGTGTTCTGCTTAAATGCACAAAAGAACCCCCCAAAAAACGTAAGCATTACACATGTTGTGCATTAAAAATGACATTATACACAACAACACTGGAAGTTAAAATGGGCCAGAGTGGGATTTCTAAAAAAAAAAAAACACTAAAGGAAATCAGGAGCAGCAGCTTCAGTGTTCAAACACATAGTAAACAAGTTATCTTACTTTATAGTGACTAATATTCAATAAAATAAAATCAGATAGAATCAACCTGCAACTATAAAAACAGCAGAAAATCAGAAAAGACATTACCCCTGACTTGGAGACTCCCATTGCATCCTGTTGCGCCCTTTTCCATTCTGCCTCCAACCTCTCCTGATCTCGATGGTACTGTTCCTAAAAAAAGAAAAAAAATGCTCTATACAACATGTATAAATTTCATGTGAAGAATATTTCTGTTACTGTGTTTGGAAAAAGGAGTCTTCACCTGTAGGAGGCGCTCCTGTTCTTCCTGCCACTTCTCCTGACGTCTGCGATCCTCCTCGCGGTCCCACAACCAGCTGGATGTGGAGGGGCTGAGGGATGGCACCTGGAGCTGGTGATGCACACACACACTGATTACAGACTCAAACATGATCAAAGTGCAACACATTAACTCTTTAAACACACAAGTAATGTATATTTGACCATGCATAAAAAATACAAAAAAAGACAGCCTTTGATATACAGTGGTATGGTAACTTACATCAGATATTGCAGATTCTGAACCTCCTGTGTGAGAAAATAATTGGTTATAAAAGGAACACCATACAGTCATATCACACAGGTCATACATAAGATCAAACATAGACTGGAGACACATTAGAACAATCAATAGCATTGTGAAAATGCATTGGATTACACAATGGCTGACCTTGCATCATGTTTCTTTTTCTTTTCTTGTGTTTTTTGTGTGCCTTTGCCTCATTTCGCACTACAAAATAACATCTTCCTAAGTAGCACACAAAACACTGGGTACATGAGCAGCTTTAAAAGCCCTGCTAAAGGGCCCAGTAGTTCCTCTGTTCACTGAAAACCAAAATATGTTGCACAACATGAATGCAGTTTTACTTTTGCTCGTTGTGCACCTTTACCTGCAGGACTGGATTAAAAATCTGTTCACAAATAAAGATTACCGTTGCCAAGGATCAAGTCTGCGTGTAAGTAAGCGCACTACATTCTGCGAATGTATCCCCAGTCTAAAGATGTCTCACTGCAAATACAGAGAAAGAAACTGTAGAGCAAAGAGTGAAGCATGCCATCGTAAATAAGAGAAAGGTATCCATGCGCTGTATGACAAACACAGATCTGCTTTGTACACTTGCTGCTGATGCTTCACAACAAACAGTGGATTTCGCAACATCCATCATGCTGCTCAAAATAATAAAAAAATAGAAAGAAATACACACAGTGCAAACATTTACCACACAAGTAAACCCATGAGCTGAATCCTGCAGAGCCTGAAGAGAGAAGCCATAGTATGACACACATCAAATTCATTAACAACCACAAAGGATGGCAACACAAATCAATCATTGTGCCGAAGAACGACTATTGAAAAGTTATTAATCAAAGGCTGCAACCCATTAGCACCAAGAGAATGCAACATTACAGTAAAATAGGCAGTTTGTTGTACAGTGTGTAGAGTTGTAGCGAAGTTGATGAGTATAAACTATTATGAAATGATCAGTGCCATCAGCTCTGTGGTTGTTGGGTGAAGTTGTGCCGAGTGCTGTGCAACAACAAGTACCGTTTCTCGTTTTACCTCAGTTTACAAAAATTTAAATAAATAAATAAACAAATAAATACTGCACGATAAACATTAATTTACAGAACTGCAACCTCTTTAATAGTTGTCAGATTTGGTTTGTGGTTAAGCTGCTCTGATTTAAACACAGTTACGCATTTTCTGATTCCTTTTACAAACCCATCCATCCATTATCTATACACCGCTTAATCCTCACTAGGGTCGCGGGGGGCTGGAGCCTATCCCAGCCGATCTAGGGCGAAGGCAGGGGACACCCTGGACAGGTCGCCAGTCTATCGCAGGGCTACACTTAGAGACAGACAACCAAGCACACTCACATTCACACCTACGGACAATTTAGAATCACCAATTAACCTCAACATGTTTTTGGACTGTGTGGGAGGAAGTCGGAGAACCCGGAGAGAACCCACGCTGCACGGGGAGAACATGCAAACTCCACGCAGACAGATCCCGGTGTCCCCACCAGGATGCGAACCAGCAACCATCTTGCTGCGAGGCAACAGTGCTAACCAACTGTGCCACCTTGCAGCCCCCTTTTAAAAATCGCTTCTTAAAAAAAAAAAAAAAAAAAAAGCCTGCTGAAAATATCTAAGTTAGCCAAGCCAAGCACCAGCCACCAAAGCCGCAACACAAGGCATCCACACTCAAACTAGCATTTTACCTTTCTGGTTGAAAAATTCTGTCCTCCTTTTCTGATTTTTGCTAGTGATCTCATTATAATCTACATGCAAAATGAGGATGGCTGAGGTGAGAAATTACATTCACATGCATCTATGGAGTTGTTTTTTTTACACCGTTGCCATATTCTTTGTAATAATATTGCTATTACAAATGTCATTCCTGTTATTACCTTTACTTGTGGCTGTCCTGAGGTTGTCAGAAAGCACTCCACCCATGACTTTACCCTGTATTACCTGGGCAGGTGAAAGAAGACACCACAACACCACAACATGAAGCTGCACTATGAGGAAAAAGAGCTTAGGAGCATCCAATTTTGAACTAAAGGCTTAACTTGATAAAACATTGCTCACATTGTCTGACTGCCCATTGAATTTGGACACTTTTGTGACTGCCGTTTCTGCAGAGGCAACACCGTTGGGATGGTGATCAGGGCAACCTATTAAAACAGGTGCAGCAGCAGTCAGATTGAGGGTCACCCTGCTCTGGCCTGGCAGGCTGCGATGACTCCCATCGCTGGTGTTCCAATCTAATTAAAAACAACCAGCCATCAAACCCAAAGTCACGCTGTAAACCAACGTTTGTGACCACCGGTTAGAAGTTAGAGGTTAAATGATCACAGGCAATTTCAAGGAGTTGGCAGAGGGCACGATCGTCTTTCTAGGCTCATTATCTCACCCTTGTTGCCAAAGCGTCGGATGTCCATGGTCAGGTTGCCAGTTTGCAGGGCAGACGCCATTTTATCCTTCCACTGGTTGTAGTTCAACTGTGTCACTGGAACTCCATCAACGGCCACAATCTCATCGTCCACATGCAGCTGGCAGAGCTCCGCCGGACTGCCTGAGGAAGGAAGAGGCATCAGGAAAATGAGGAGACATGAGAACGAAGACAACATTAAAAAAAAACAAAAAACAAAAAAAAGGTACAGGAAATATTTGCTGGGCATGAGGTCGAAAGGAAGCCACAGTTGGTTGAAAAGTGGGCCAGTAAGCCAAAACTATGTAGCAGCGGGTAAGTGACACCTCGGTCACATCTATTTAAATTATTCATTGAGTTTTAAATCACTGGCCGCAAATGCACACAAATCTTCAAACTACTAAATGGTCATTTCTCTGCACATCTACACAATTATTCCAATCAGTTTGAGAAATCAGGATCTATCAACTATTTCGACATCTCTTCTTTCTAAGTATAAAAATTAACTTTCCTCCTAGCATAATAATAATTGATCTAATAATAACGGATCTAATAAGCAAATTTTTTGATGCCCAAATAGTCTAACTTGAACAGTCATGTGTTCTAAATGCAGGCTGTGTGAGCAAATTTCCACTTTGCAAAACAGAACATATCATGTGAGCACCGAGTAGCAACACTATATCTGTCACGGACTTGTCGCTGTTCCAGACAAACACCTGATCCTAATACCGTTTCCCCCTTAACTGTAATGTATTCCTCTTGTGAAAGAACTTTAGGAATCCAGATTTATATTCAGCCAAAAATCTTACCAGGTTGAATAAGTTTCACTCTCGCCCCCATGGAGTCCCAGTGCGTATGGAAACCAAAGTCTGCTACGCTGTTGGGTTTAAGAGTGAGGCTCACTCTCATGTCACTGTGATCCACCTAAAACAGACAGACACACATTCGCCCAGGTAAAGGTGACACCCCATGATCCAATGTCCTGCGCTTCCTGGTGAAATCAGAGACAGAGGCCTGCTACACAAATATAGTGAATGACCCATTTGTTATTATTTTCCTGTCGAGAGATGCTGATTCAGTTGTTTGTGGCTTTAATGAATGGTGATGCAGCTTTAAATTGAGTAGTGTTTGAAATCTCATCAACCTACATTTGCCCAATTAAATGAGGCTAGATTCGTGAAAACACCTCATAAACAGTTTAAAAAATGTAATCACATATTAGGCATTTTATTTTTAAATAAAATTTAAAAGTCTTGCATGCACATACACAGATGTTTTCAACAGTCTGCTGAATATACTGCTCTAAGTTTAGACACACCAGTAACAATGTCATAAAATAAGTTGTCTCCTTGCAGGTTCTACAAAACTAACAATGTCCCCTTTTCATGGCGTTCCGGCTTGTCATAGTACAGCTATAAAAGCACCTGTGAAGCGAATACCGATAATGATGGTTCTGTTCCATCAGGTGTCCGCTAAGCCATGACAGCCAACCAGCATGTGCAACACCAGCCCCCCTGGAAACTGGCTCACCTAAATGAAATACAATCATTTTTCATTACACCTTTGTTTTTCCTGCAATGACCCGTTTCCTGCTGCAAAAAACAACGTCCTAAATACTCCACAATGCTAATATTTGGCTCCACACTACCAGCTACTTATGATGTATTTTGTAAGTTATTTTAATGACACAATCTTAATTACATTACAGCTTATGTTGCAGCAATTTCTACTAACTCTTCCTCTCAGATCATGATGGTGAAAGCCGTGAATAAAGCAAACTACTTTACAGCTAGGTGTATGGATACCGATTAGTGCTTAATCACGTTCGAGTAAAATAGCTTAGAACTGCTCTGGAAAGTAATTATTTTTCATTTAATTTTTCTATAGATCAGCCGGCATCTTCAAACAAACGTAAATGATCTGATATTCCTTAATAAGTTTGATCCATCATAATTAAGTACAAGATTTTCTAAGTTGTTTACAGTTTCCCCCAAGTGCATCAATACATGCACACAGAAAAACAATGTACCTTTGGGACGTCAGTGCTTGCAGTAGACGGGGGTGTCGCATTTTTATTGCGGTGGGAGGTTTGCAGGTTTGAATACGGCTGGGGCAGAATCTGAGTGGAGGGCAGATGGGGGTAGCCATTATTCTGAAAGGAGGCCCGGCTGGGGATGCTGGCACCATTCACCTCCTTCCCCTGTTCTGTAACATTCTGCTTCGCCTGGCTGACTTTCTCCAGTGTGACTGACGCCTGGTTCTGACCCTTCAGATGGGCGGTCGCAGTCTGTCGTATGAACGATGATTTGGTGGGTGGAGAAAGAGAATCCTCTTTCTCACTGTTCAGCAACACATCCTGATTGTCATCTACCTGGAGATAAACAAAAACAAGATGTGCTCAGGAGGACAGTGCAGATAGATGTGATCGCAGCATCTACTCTGCAGCACTCAGATGTGACAGCACTGATGCAAGACAGATGGGTGCTGAGTGTCTACAACTGCCAGACTTGCGCGATAACAGAAAATGTGTAATCTTGTAAGAGAGTTCAAATTGTTCACAGTGGTGCAGCAGCACGTCTATTATTAATGAGGTGGGCGATCAAGAAAACAAAGGTAACACAAGCTCGCTCACATGTCGTACGTGCACAATTAGGACACATTCCCACCCATGCATGCACGACACGCTCTCATTACACAAACTTTAACTTTATAAGTTTCTGTGCAAACTGCCTGAGCGTTAAACTGCCATTCAGTCAGAATTATAACAATCCAGACTGTGTAAAATAACATCAGCAGGTGGCAGGTTTTCTTTAAAAGCCTTTACACTTTTGCAGCATAGGAGAGCATTTGCAGTTTTTACTGTAGAGATGGAGACCCATCTACTGTTTATCAATGTCATGCCATTTATCTCAATCACTATAATCACCAGTGTTCTGAGAGCACCTCAGTTTCAAATTTGAACACATTTCGAGTTGCAAGAAAGGATCTGAAACCTGAATGAATCATAGGCTGAAAAGTGATAGGGTTGTAATAAAAATCCATTAGACCAGTCCAGGTTTTATTCGAGGGCGGCAGAGAGGGAAGTTAGTAGTTTAAAAAAAAAATAAAAAATGTGGTTGGCAATGCTGGAAAAATATTTTGTCTGTGCCTTTTTGGATGACAAGAAGTTACCACTGAAACATTTCATTTAGTGTCTCAAACCAGCTGTGCAGTAATAATACTTCTTATAATGAATAAGACCCATGAAAAGACCAACATACACCTCCACAGATCTCCAAAAGGATCAGTGAGCAACACATTTGCAATGAATGACATGTTCCTTCTTTATGGTGGCCATGGGCACTGTAGTTTATTTTAAGGTTCATCAGAGGTTGCTAAGTGATGCCAAATGTGTATCAATCTGAAGACTGTTGAATGCAATAATGATTTTTGCTTGAATAAACTTTACTACTGCTGTGGTAGAAACTGTCATTTCACTTTTTAAAATGTTTAAATTATGTCTTCGTGACCCATTTTTAATTTTTTTTGTTTTGATATTTTCATGGGACCTTTCAAAAAATGGCAAAAATGTATTAAACAAACCCTTCAAACTGAGGAAAGAACAGCTTAGTTTGTGGATAATATTTGGTCAAACTGGAGCCTATTTAAAGAGCAACAGTGCTACAGCTATGACTACCCGTGAACTCACACTGCACAGCCTCGGAAGTGAGGACACCCTGGACTGCTTCGTCCCAAATGGTCTGGCTGTGATTGCAGAAGAGAGGCGAGCTGAACCCTCAGACCGACGGTAACCTCGGGGAAGGCTAGCTGAGCCGGACCACGACCCAGTTCTCGACAGGTACTTGTAGACGCCTGCGGCATGCTGGTCTTTGCCAAGATCCACTGCTGGTTCCCAAGATGACTTCTGGCGCTCCTCGTTGGACTTGTGGTTCTGATATGACAAGTCTTTCAAAGCATCAACTCCAGCCTGATTGACTGCATCAGGATCAATGCAGAATGAAGGTTTGTAACTTGACGTGGATGAAGTGGGATCCCTGTTGCCGGTTGGTTCTGCAGTGCAGTTTGGCTGCGTAGCTATGACAAGAGTGGAGATTTGGTTTGTAAAGACATTTTGTGGCCGGGCCAGTTCCAGCGTGGACTGGAAAAGTCGTGGGCCGCCCGGGGCTTTGACTTGGGTCTGAGAGCTGAAAGGCTGGTCCAGAGACGGTGTGGTGGCTCCTGCTCCATCTGAAGCCACAGAGGCAAAGTAGGTCTCCTCTCCCAGGATGTTTCCATCAGAGGCAGGCATGGCTCCAACTGATGATCCCTGAGAGGAAATGGGTCAACAGCGTAAAATAAAACAAAATATTTGATTTTCCACCTTGCACAACTGCACCTGAGAAACCTTTTAGGTCATCTTTCATGTGGGCATTTTGACCACAATAATAGCAAAGTAGCCAGAAGTATTCATTCAGACCAGAGAGGAAAAAACAGAACCTCAGTGAAAACTTACCCGTGTGTGGGCTGAGTTGTGTTGGCTAAGTGGAACTGTGGGGCTGAAAGGTGATTCGATGGCGTAGCTACGGGCCAGCAGAGCTCGAGTGTGCGGCCGCAGATCAGAGCTCAATGGTTTGGATGGGGGAGAGGTGGAGTAAGGACGGGGGGCTGGTTTATGCCTCCATGGTGACTGCTGTTCTCTGGGGCATTGGCAAGTAAGGGAAGAGCGGCAGAAGAAGAAAACATGCGTGTCATATTACATGAGGTTACAGTGTTATCAGGCCACACACACACAGATGCACACAGACACACACACACACACAAACACACACACAATTGGGTTGCAACAGGGTTTTGGCATTGCAAACTTGAGATTTTCCGTTGCTGTACCTCTTTGTCAGTCCGCCTGTACTCTTCACAGCTCCATTGGTCATCTGGTTTATAACATGCTCTCTGTCTAGTGAGTTCCTGCGAAGGTCAGACTTCGTGCTCCTGCGACGACTCTTCCACTTTGTCAAATCCTGGAACAAACAAAAGCCATTGTAACTGTTGCCTGTGCGCATATAACTATATTGACTGCTATTATCAATAGTTAACAACTCAGACACAGATAGAAAGTACTGAATATCATATCTGTTTGTTGAGAAGAAAAGTTTATTCTTGGCCTTGAAAGCAACAATTAAGATAATTCAGAATTCTTCATTGGCATGGGCATGTTTAGATACTTGTGAGCCTGTCTGGAGATGGTAATTGTAATCTGTAATCTTTCTTCATCACATCAAGATTCCCCAGTTAGCATGTTATTCTAAAAATGAATTAAAATGTACTTTTTTGTGGTCAAAAGGTATAAAAAAAACAAACAAACAAAAAAACACAACTCGGCAAATCTCGTCTGCCGAAGAACATGGCGTAACACACTTGAAAGCTCTTGAACAGCTACTAAATGGACTTTGTAGTCAGACAGTTTTACCAACCATCTTTTTTGTTTTTAGACTTGACTTACATCCTGCCACTGAGCTTCGCTGTCCTTCGCAGCAACGCTACACTTCCTATTGTCCTGGCCTTCATCATTATTAGTGTCTCCATCAGGAACTTTGCGCACAGGGTAGACCATCGGGATGTCACTGAGGGATTTGCTCCTGGTTAAGACAGACAGAGGCAGGACACTGGAATAATGATGGATATGCACAGCAAACAATATGTGGGTGACATTGCAGCTTAATATTGCATGAAAGTGACACTTTTGAACACCATGTAGCAGAACAAGCATGATCAACAGCAGCACGGCAAGGCAGAAACATGCCGGCAGTTATTGTATGCACACAAACACACAACATGCACAACAGGCCACAGCATTATTAGCTCTAACGCAGCACATTATGCATTCAAACAGCAGAATCCTTAGCCAAGTGTGAGCAGGAGTGTAGCATGCAAGTCAAGTAATACAGCAGTATAAATGGCAACAGATGTTGCTGTCTGGATAACACAACAGCCATGACTTGTAACAAGTAATAGCACTGCTGTGGGCAACAGAGGATGTCAGATGTGACATTCAAATAACTTACAGCAGCATTTAGCAGGTGGTATATCAATACCCTGACATAATTTGATGGGAGGAACCAAGTTTGTGATTACAAACAATCCTGCAGTTTGTCATAAATCCCACTGTCAAGTCTGGCCAGAAAATTAATAGTGGGAGGTGTGCCAAGTGCTCCATCTTTATGAAAAGGCAAATGATGTTTACAGCATAATTTCCTTCATAGGCAGACTGAAGGCAAACAAAAGCAAACCTGGATGAAGCAGCAATAGAAGCAGGCACGATCAGAGTGATCCAATCTCAGAAAATTGGGACTTACCATATCCAGCCAGGGTTAACCTGAACTGGTCTCTCAGGCCTGACCTGGATTTGATATGTTCTACAGAACCAGAAAAACATCAGGTTTGACAAATGCAACTAACAGCATTAACAAAATGATGAGGGGCAAGCCTGTCCAGAATCTCCAAACCCATCACACACACACACACACATTCAAATATTGTGCAGAATGTGAATTAGTCCTTTTAGACAGTTTAACTTGGGAGAACATACTTTATTTTTCAACACCAGTGTCATATTCACACAGGCAGTAAACTGGAAACATTAATGCTGGCATGAAAGGTGTTATAAATAACGCGATTGTGTTATGGCTATGGAGATCTGACCATGCATGAGTCATGTTTAACCATTATGTGCAAATGAGTCACTCAGCGTCATGCTGTCAAAATGTCTTCTCATCGTCAGCACTACAGAAATAGAGTAAATGCCAAATAATACAACATGTAGTACTTAGGAAAACATCAGTAACAGTATTGAACCAAAGCTTCAGAAAACATCTTGTAAACAAAGCAAAATTTGCATATGTTAAGAAAAATAAAATCACATATTTTGCTGCTGATTTAGAGATTTGCAAATGCGAAAATGACAAGTACACTTTGGCACTTATGAGACAATGAGATAACGAGTATGATAGTGTGATGAGGCTAATGACAACAGTCTAATGCAGTGTGTATTTGAGACTGTGCACGTTTTGCATAAAAAGTCCAGGACAGGAGTCAAGGTTCAGGCTTAGAGAGAATTTCTTCGATGTAGTGCGGAGGCTCTCCAGATGTTGCAGAGATGTTTTTCTCAGTAGCAGATCTCAGGTGCCAGGAAATGAGGTCAAAGTCAAACTCTTCAGCAAAAGCCAAGGCTTTATGGCTACAGTGAAAGAAAAGGAATAGAGAATGCAAGAAATGGGTACAACATGATCAGCAGTAGAACCTAAAAACACAGTAAGTCTTATGATGAAAAAAAAAAGACTAAATCCGCAAAATGCTGGGTTCAGTAGTTTTAGTTTACATCATCGTTCTTGCAAATTATTGCTAGTTAGTCCCCTGTGCTTAGCAAACTAGAATTTTGTTTGCTTGGTGTAGTTAAGCTGGGTTTCTAAAATACCATATAATGCTATAGCCAAAAACAACAGCACGCATGAACCCACACACAACTGTGCCACACAGCAGATTATTTTAGCATTACAGAAAGAAAAAAAATGGTTGTACTTTATATACGATTTCAAAGGAGTTAAGACCCTGCGAATGCAGCTGTTGCTTGATTGTTACTAAAGCAATGCATGGACCATTTTTGAACATTAGGCGGTATACTTTTGCAGTTGCAGTTTTTTCTTTTATTAGTTTTTATTAAATTGGCTTTCATACTTGCAATATTGCATCATGGAAAGGGAAAAAAAAAACAACACACAGACCTGAGGCTCTGCATTTTATGATACCAGGGTCGTCTCTGGGAACCAAGGTAGATCCTGCGGACACGAGTCTCCTCTTCAGGTGTCCAATATTGGGGTAAGAAGCGATCATAACTGGGGTTGGTAGATGTCTGATGGAGGGTCTGCTGCACTCGTCGGAAATACAAATCATCTCGGACAGGATCCGCCTCGGCATCATCATCTTCCGAGTCTTCCTCCCACAGAGCTCGCAGGAAAAGTTCTTCATCAATGACATGCTCAGAAGGAGGTGTAGTGAAGAGCGGTTGAGGAGATAAAGGATCATCTACAGAGCTGCAGTAAAGAGTGGTGTACTCACGTCTATGTGTATTCACAGCCATGATTTTAGATATAAACAGTGATAAGTATCGCAGGATTCATCTCTCAAAGCTGCCCCAAATGTTAAAAGGCAGAAGTGTCACTGATGATTAATGCATTGAGGCAAAATCCTTTTTTTTTTGTTATTGTTAAGGTTGTAAAGATTAGGGTCGCACAATGTTTTTCAGTTTCCAAGCACTAAAGTTGCAGGTATTGTGGTTGAGTAATAACAGAATCAAGCAGAACACTGACATCCACAGTTGGTTACACAAGAGCTGCATGGTAAAATGGAATAGTAGCATAAAAACAGAGCTCACTGTCAGCATCCTGGCCTACAGTGGCAAATACTGCACAATGTCATTGTTTTCTGAAAAAATGCAGACGCTGATGGGGCATGGGGGATTGGTAGCCAAAGAGAACTTTCCTCGTGATTTCTTACGAAGTTTAGCATTAACTGTAACACACTTCAGATATTGTTACAGCCTGGTGACTTGAAACTAAATTGGTAAAGTGACTGGCAAGAGAAAGTTTACTTAAAACAGCCTAGTTTTTGTTTGTTTTAAATGTGCTTATTGCTTAAAGAACCAAAGATACTCAAAATCAAAAAGGTCAAAAACACTCTTCAGCAAAAAAAAAAAAAATGCCATTAAATAATAATTTCTTTGCCCACACAATAAAAAAAGGCACTTAACCTTCAATCATGTTCAAGATGACGGCTTTTTTTTTTTAGGTGCTACAAAAAGAATTAATTATCAGACATCACTCAGTCTGGACGGAAAATGTTGATCTAATGCAGGAAATAAATTCAGGTTTAGGTAAATACCATAAAAATACTTTTTGTGTCGATGGAAAGAAAAAGTTAATACGAAGTACATGAATGTGTGTACGTTCATGTCTCATTAATGGATTTAGTGCATACACAACTGCAAATTAGTAAAAAGCTTCAATCTGTCTGAGGGCAGAACAGTCCTCAGCTGCTTTGACAACTGACATTTGATCTAAAATGAGTTTGAACAAAGAACAAAGCGCTGTATTCCACTAGCTGAATTTAGGAATTGTATTTTCTGTGGTTCCAAGATGAAATAACACATAAGACAACTATATGTTAACCCTTTTAATCACACTCTACAATGTGCACATATGTTCAGACGTAAACACAAAATGAAACCCAATATTGACAGTGGAGATAAATGCGGATTGCACTTTTCTCAAATATCAGCTATGGATAAGTGAGTTAGTAGCAGTGTGTGAACTTTCTGTAAACAGCAGCCAACACGGATGCAGTACCTGGGGAGTGGACTCGCGCTGCCTTTTCCAGTCTCCTCTCGTCCTTGTTTTCTTCGAAGAATCGGTGTTGGGATGTAACCTTTGCTTTGGTGGGCTGAAGGCTGCGTGTTCTCCATCTTGAACACATGCTCAGCTTCTGCGTCACTTCCACAACCTGGACATGGCACAGAAAAATGGAAAATAAGCAACAGCATTTAGATGCATTAGATGCATTTAGAGTTAAAACAAAACCTAGGCTGAGAAAAAAATAAACTGAAGTAGGAATCTATTATGGTTAACAGAAAAAGGAAGAAGGCTGCGCATTAGAGAATAACAGAGAAACCTTTCTTGGATCACTGAGCCTTCACACAGCCAAGCCTTCAGGGAGCACCAGGCCGAGGTATTTTACCCTCTCCCATCTCTCTCTCACACAGTTTTATCACCACAGTGTGAAACTTTCCACAATTCTTCACTGACGTGCACTGAGCCAGGCACGACTGCATGCAGACAAATGACACACTGAGATAAGAGGATCAGCAGCTCAGAATGTTGTTGATCCAACAAAATTAGTTTGATTGAGCGTAATAATGGGGCTGCATATGGAATTGTCAGCTTATTGTAATTCATGAGCTTCTGATGAATGCAGTTATTTTTGGGCAGGTTCTTTTGCACACTGACAATAGCAGGTTGATCCTAAAGGGAAAGTTTGCACAGAAACAATATAGGCAGGTTTAGTTTCCTCCAACAAAAGAGTCTTAGCACTACAAATGCTAACTGCATCGAAAACAATTCCAAGCATCATACTCAAACTGTATTTATAGTCAATTTTCTTATTTTATCCACTGAAGTCTGAAATAGACTGTTTGAAAAACAGCTACCCTGATTGAAAACCTCACAAAATGCTCCTAACAGAACTTTGTACTTATGAATTAACTTTGTAAACTGTCCAGTGTTAAATAGTCCAACTTCAATTTCATTTAATAATTTTGTAGATTTGTGTATATGAATATTTGCTAGGGTACCTCATCTTATCTCGTGTTTTTCCAAATCTTCTAGTGGATTAAGGTCAGCAATGAAGAGGTGCCTGACACATATTCTGATGTATATGTTCAATTTATATCTTATGCACAGATGCAAACAAAGATAAAGAAGCTCAAAGCTAAAAGAAAAATATGTCACTCACAGCCACGGTGTGTGATCATTGGGTAATTTCACAGTTTGATCTGCAAGAACTTTTCAGTCACTATGTGCAACAGCCAAGCAAAATGTGTTTTCTCATAACTTGAGCAGTGTTGCTTGCAAGATGTGCCAGAATTACTGACTCGAGATTGCATGGAGGACACACAAACTACTAGACACTAAAATACCTTCACTGTTTGATCGCAGGGCCCGGGAGTTCAGAAACTCAATGCTGTCCACAGAGTTTCCTTTCTTATAGCTCGATCGCATGCTGCTGCTTTCCTCCTTCTCTGGGTACCGGCACTGTCTGTATCCACCGTCCTTCACGATCGCGTTACTTCCCTCATCCAGAGACTGGATTTAAAAGGCAGGTTTAATGCAGGGAAGAAAAACAAAAGTACTACAGCTGTTAAAAGCCTAGAAGAGCAGCTTACCTTGGACAAGGCCAAACCTAACAGCCCCTCGAAGGCCTTGAAATGAAGCTGGGGGCCACTGTAGAAGGCATCTAAGTGAGCCTTGCGACCCAACCAGTAGATTGTAATGAGAACCTGAGAAAGAGTGGACAGAAACATGCACACAAATCTGATCACATACCACTTTCCACCAAATCAAACATAAACTTCTTGTACTTATAAGTTTAACTGCTTTTCCTGACTCACCTAAGTTCTGAAAAAAAAACAAAAAAAAAACTCCCAATTTGTTTTTCTTTCTATACCACAGCATATGACATACTTTTCCCTCCACAGCATCAGCAACAACAAAAAGCTTCCGCTGAGCCAGAGGTGCACAGCCTTCAAAAGATAGTTTAAAACACTTTACGTGGCACCGAATACTGTTGACACTCAGCCACACACTTAACAACCATTAGTAAAGACAGTGAGTAAAGGCCAGTAAAATATAGGCCTCTACCCAGCATTCAGCGTTTTAATCGCTCAGCAACTAAAGCATTTTGGAGACAATTTATTTCTCATTTCCCTCGAGATGAGGGATACACTTTTGAGGGACAGCCTCTCTCACCATCACAGACCAGCAGGCTGCATTGCAAGAGTAAATCTGTATGTTAACAAAGCCATCACAGAGCAGTCAGCCGACAGCACACTGCAAGTCAGATAGATTCCACCCCCACCCCGTGCCAGTCCTATGTAATTGTGTCTCTATAGATTTCTCAGCCTCTGTAGCAGCTTTACCTTACAGGAACAGTGAAAGCATTCACTGATACAGATGCTATCTACTAGTGTCAGTGATCAGTGTCAATGTAACAAAGAGTTGTTTTTTGGATTTTTCCCGAAAAATGATGTAAAGACACTCAGCATAATACGCAGTTCTTACTGAAGCCAAAAATTTATTTCAGTTTTCCCTAATTTATACAAGCTGGAAATATACAAACATCAAGCGCACGTGTCGGTTGTAAGCACGGGGGCAGGGTGTATTCATTATTCTCTAATACCATGCCATGCATGTCATGACAAGGAAATCATTTCACTATATGCAACAGGTCACCACAGGTTAATTCGATATCTGCCGTGTGTGACTTTATTTATATTCTGCAGAAGCCCTTAAATCATTAAAGTGCCGTCATCAATGTTATGCAAGAAAGCGTTATACTTTTACAAATGAGGACAGAGATGAATGGATTCATAACAATCCTGCAAACAATTCTACAATGATAGGCAGTGTATGTAAACACTGATCATGGTGCCAATATTTTTGCTGCAGCAGCAATATTAGTGAATAAGCTGCTTCATCACAGATGCTACACATGCTGCAGCCTTGAGCAAAACAAAATAGATGTACATGAACAAAAGGTCTTAATCCATCCATGTTTGCATGTATAGGTTGTTTTTTATTTTGGCGTAATATTAAAAGGTATGTCTGTCTTGATTTAATGTAGACCAGCTAAGTACTTTCTGGACTTCCAGAATTAAAAACAAGAAAAACATGTTTAAATGGGCCAAGAATTGATGTGCTTGGATGAACAATAATAATTGAGCTGATCAGGCTTAAATAATTTCCCTTCAAAATAAATACACTCAATCTGAAAGTAATGTTTTTTGAGGGTGTTGGTGTAATGGCATCACCACTGTATATACAAACAGTACTCTGCTGTGTTTTGCAAGTTTAAAATATACTGTATGAATAACTCAGTTTCAACCATTTGTGAATCTGGTTGGAAACCTGAATGAAAAACTGGATTTCAATGGGAGCAAATTGACCTTAATTGGTTAATTCAAAGAAAAAGGCTAAACCCATTTGAAAGAGAGAGAGAGAGAGAGAGAGAGAGAGAGAGAGAGAGCGTGCTAACAAACAGCCTCATTACCGAGTCCAAGTTTTCAGCTATTGTGTGATTCAAATGAGGCTTCCCAGATAACCAAACAAGCTGATAAGCTTTGAAACATGTAAAAATACCAGCAGTGCACATAAGCGTGTACACACACAGCACCCATGTGTTCCATGCACACAAAACACACACATACTAATAACAGATAGCAGTTTTCAGATACAGTTTAAGCTGCAAAAACAAAACCCTGGATTGCATTTTGGCACAGAGTAGCAGGGGTTAAATACCAGATTATGAGGATATGCCTCAAACTCAAATCAACAAAACAACCCCCTCGACTATCATCACTTTGATTCTGAACAAGTCTTGATGCTGATGGGGTTTTGGCACCAGCAGCAGGAGCTAGAATCTGTGCCCTACAGCTACTGGTAATTGGGCTGATAAATAGTATGTTGACCACTGACTATCTTGCATGCAGGTAAATTTAAAGTGGGTGAAGTAGAGCAGGACAAAGCTGCCTTTAAGGCTTTATAACTCACTGTCCAAGAAAGAGAAGCGAGAAAACACATGAAAAATGAATGTAAACTTACATTTTTGAGTCGTCTGGTGCTTTCGTCTCGCCTAAAATTAAAGTAAAGACACAAATAAATGGCTGTATAGATGAGTGTTAGCTCTCTTCTTGCAATTTTCATTATGATTGTGTACACAGTTGCATCACTAAAAAGAGCAATAAATGACAGCCAGATAGAGAGTTGTTCAGGGAAACTGTACAACACAGGAACATCTCAAGTGCTCTCATTTGCAAACTTGTACTAATCAGCTACTTATCAGGTTTTATAGAGACTGAGCTGCCTGCTCAAATTAATGTGAAGCTTGACAGGCAAACTTCACAACTTTATCAATGCAAAGCAGCTCATTCACATTCTGTTAACACGTTTAAGCGCAAGTATCGAACAGGGCGTAAAGAGCACTAAGCACAGTGGATACTGACAGCATGTTTCAAACATTGATTTGATCAAATTTCCTCAACAAATACTGACACACTGTATTAGAACACATAAGTTTGCACGTTCACTTCCACTTCTCGATGCCAACTTTACCTGAGTGTCACACGAGTCGACAAGTCCTGCAGGTCACCCGGATGGAACAGCTGTGAGGCGTTCAGTCCCAGTTTTCCACAGGCTTTCAGGAAAACACTGATATTATCCTGAAGTATCAAAGTCACAGAGACAGCAAAGGGGGTAAGATGAAGAAACTGTGGAAAACTGGAGAATCACATACTGATGTTTGCAATCAACCAGTGTTTGAGTCATACCTGTGCATATCCATAGTCTTTATTATATCATATTCTTAGCCTTATTGTACTTCTGTATTTCTTGTCTTGCTTCTCTCATGCTTCATTCGTATCTGGCTGCTGTACTATGAACATTTCCCCAGTAAGAGATCAATACAGTTTGTGTTATTGTGATGTTAGATAAGTTTGCAAAATGCCATTGCCAACTTTGCACAGCTGAAACTGCATCATCTAAAAGCAAAGATTTTCACTGTTGTCATTATTTTGTGAGAACTAAGTTGAGTGTAACCCCGATTCTGCTTGGCTGACTGTCACCTATATCATAAGACTACACAAGTCACCATGATTGTTGACAATAACAAATCATTTTAGTTGCACTATAACTGAACTTTGTTACTTGAACATGGAGGGTTAGTCAGAAAATGTTTCAGAAACCTCCAGTCGCAAAGAAAAAGAGCAGGACGCAAGATTCAGCTGTGTAATGATCAATAATTCTGTCCTTTTTGTAATATATAACAGTTCCGATTCCAATGCAGAAATAATACAAATTAACCCAAAATAAGACAAACATTCACTGAAATTAACAATGTCAGTGAAAGCTAGAGGATATTTATTCTGTACTTACTTCAATGGATACTTGAAGGGTAGAAAATCAATACTGACACCTATGTTAAATATTTGCATTTGTTTTAAGTACGTTTCATTTTCAGCTAATAGATTAAAACATGCAAAACCACCAGCATGGCCCTTCAGGCTGTCAAAGTAACTGCTGATTCTATGCTGCCTCTGCATCTCACATCCCTCTATCACCACCAGTCATGCATCCACTGTTGGGCTCTGTCTATTTATTGGCCTCTAATGGGAGGCTGCCATTGATCTTCCCCTGCTCTTGCTTTGGGCAGTTTTGGCAATTATACTGTATGAAACCACTGAAACACAGCCCGAAGCCAAAATAAATAAATAATAATTAAAAAAAAAAAAAAAAAACAGTCTTCATTTGCATTGATGTCCAATAAAAATAAAAAAACTTCACATCAGCAGTTAGATTGTCACACTCAAATGCAGTTTCAGGTTCATTTAAACCGTCTCGCTGTGCCTTTAACAGGAAACCACACAATGTGTCAAAACTTCCTGGCTGGCAGGTGCCGTCTTATTTTCTTATGCACTTAGATGAAACACACACGCATACATCAGATGGCTGAAGTGTAACGTCTAATACTTTCTAACACTCACCAGGCCGGCGATGGGAGTAGAAAGCCTGTTCACTCTCTTGATGATGCCAGGTTTCAACTGGTTGATTAGGCTATGAGCAGAAACAATAAATTGGCAAACAGATTATAAATATTTCAATTTTAGGGGCTCAATAATCCAGACTTCAATTTTCGATAAAGAGATTACATACAAATAAATAAATAAATCCAGACTGTAGCTTAAATAGAAGAACCACAAGCTTTGAGCTAACTATGGTAACTGACATCCAGGTTTAACTGCTAGTTTATATCTGTTGACAAATGTCTCAGATTTGTCTGCCTCATTGCTTTTTTGTACCCATTAGCTGATGCTATCAAAGTCAGCATTTATTTAGAGTGTGCTTTGAAGAAAATGACCTGTGCTCCATGGAGGATGATATAAAAAACAAGAAGCTGGCATAGAAGTTGTATTGGATGGCTGATCATAGGTTTGCATGATAATTTATGTTGGATTTGATTCCTTAAAATAAAAGTAAGACCTCATTAAAGTTGAATAACACATCGGTACTCACTCGCAAAGCAGGACTCCGTTCTCTAAGGCGGCGCGGAAGTTATCGCAACCAAACGATTTTCCAGTCACTTCCTAAAGCAAATAAACAAACAGACTCACCACTTAGTTTACTCACTGACCAGTACAGTTTAAGTTTCTTTTTGTTCCGTACTTTACTAGTCAGACTGATGTGTTTCAGACAAACAAAACCAAAGGTGTTAACCACTTCTCCACACAATAAAACTGACACTGCAATGGGACCTGCACAGCTGCATTTTCATTTGCATGCATGTGCTCCAAAAACTACATGTTCTTTCATTAAGTGCTGTCTACACTAATTGACAAGTAGAATGTTCAAGTACTGCAATGTTGTATTCAAGTGTACGGTCCATTAGTCTGACTCACTGGATGCAAGTATGAGCCTGACATTGGCTGTGCATTTCAGGCAGCTTTCTCTTCCCTTTCTACAGGTTACCGTTTTTTAAATGATCAAACAACCTGGGCTTGCAATGTACACCTTAAAAAACTAAAGTTTTACCAAGGATTCAGATTGTGCAGTAAGGCAGCCCTGCTTGTGATGAATTAGTCAAGCTTACCTCCCTGCGTGCAACTGTTTCACCATTTTGGTTACCCCGTCTGTATTTTGAGGGGAAATGGTTGCTGTAATTCTGCCTCAGCTCAGCTGAAAATGACAGTAATTGGTTTAAAGAAATATAAACATGCCAGGACTGTTTCCATCTATAGCAGAATGGTCATAAGGTGCAGTCAGACCATCTGGAGCTGCAGAATAGTCTGACAATGTGACATGAACTGTCTTTTAACAATACCTATAATCAGTGCGGACTGAAACTATGAAACAGAGTGCTGGGTAGGGACAGACTGATTGTCAGCGTTGTGGATTACAGGGGCCAATGTTGGGTATTTTTCCGATTATAGTTATTTTGCATTAACCAATTATTGATAAATTAAACACAATACTTCTGGTCTAATGCAGCCGTCTCTCTCAGTCTGTACTCACCATGTCATTACAGCATTGTCTCCTGAGAAGAGACACAGCCCACAAAAACTGAACAACAAACCAGGACATTAGCTGCTTTCACAGTGGCTACGGCTTCCCTACAGGCTAGCGGATAAATTTGGAGGCAGCAACAGATGACCCTGAAACAGTGTCTGGAAAACAATGAGAAAATATTGCCTTAAGATCTGGGCCTCACTGGGCAATTAAAGAAAAAATAAATAAATCAATAAATAAATCACAAATTAGAGAAAGAAAAAAAGCAGAAGTAACTGCACGAGACAAACTGTTTAATCTCAACTGATCTCAACGTAAACAGGAGTGTAATCCTTCCCATTGCTAACATACACATTCAGCTTAATCCTCACTGATGAAGAAGCCTAGTTATGAATGACAGGTTCCCTGCTTTCGCAAGCTGTTAAAATGCAACATTTACTGTATATTGGTTCCAAATGCTGGTCATCAATCGTTCCTGATTAATAATTGGCATCATTTTGGCCCTGAAAATCCCATATTGGTTGATTGCTAATGCAGCTTGTCTTTGCAACACAGGATTTAAAAAATGTCCTACTAACAGATTGTACAGTTCACATTTCAGTGAGACAGAGTTGTTTTGAGAGCACAGAAACGACCGAGGGGGTCACAGTGTTTTAGATCGTTGCACATTAGTTGATAAGGGACCATAAATATAGACCGAAAGATATGTTTGAGGAAAATGTGGCAACAGAGTTTGTCCTCATGAGAGCAAAAGGATGAGTTGGTCCTATATGCACTCATGCTAATATGAAGCTGTTGAGTGTTAGTTCGTGAAACAATACAACTATAGCAAAAAGAAGGAAAACATAGTTTTGGTTGAACTTAATTAAAAATAATCCTTTAGCTCACAATGCATGCATTCCACTTTTTGTAGCTGTTCCTGTCAACTATAAAACTAAGTTAAGTAAATTAAGTTGAGCTGGGTATCATTAAGATTTTTGCCTCAAAATTTCTCCAGCTGCAGCATAAAAGCGAATACTTACAAAATATCTAAGAGCAAAAAAAGCCATAAAAAATGTATGCAGACAAGTATTCCCACAAACATTCAAAAGATGTTTTTGGTCAAAACAAAGAACACAACATAACCTAAATGACTGTACATGGCAGGAACAAGCACAAGGCAAGGGGGTTTTGTAATGAGGACATAAAAATGGGACTATTAAGTTTCGGCTCCATAACTAACAGAGAGTCCCAAAAGGCTATTCTTCTCACTAATTAGTCCCCCCAGGAATCCACAATCACAATTCGTTTTTAGTAGAGCTGGGCACTGGGCATGGAGTGGATGCTTCTCAGTGGAATCAGACAAACAATGCATTGCAAGGTTAACACAATACAACACAATGTGGCACTGTGCTGTATTGTCTGTTCTGCAGCATCAAACTTTAATTGGTCATCTCTAAGAAGAAAACGAAAAAAACAAAATAAAACAATAGTCCCTAAGAAACCCTAGATTAAAATGAATTTCAACCATATGTTCTTAAGTGTGACTTTCAAACTTCTCGATACTGCTTCATTTGTTAAAGAGAGTTTGTGAAAGGATCAAATGAATTAATTATATCACCCGGGGTGAAAAAAATGTAAGAATAACTTGACAATGAGCAATCAATTAGTCTGCAACAAAACTGAGCAAAAATGCCAAATATTTGTTGGCTCCAGCTTTTTCCAAAGCAAAGATTTGAAACTATTCAATGTCACACATAGTCATTAAGTTGCAGCCTAGTGAAATTTAAAGAACTGATTATTTCTTCTTAAGGAAAAGACGGCACTGTTCTAAACCAGAAGAAGCTGAACTGTTCTGCTTCTTTTCCCCCCACAAACTAGATTGCCTGTTTACATAATGTAGAAGAGGCCGATCCATTCTCATTTCTCCTCGAGTCCAGTCGGCATTAAGCAAACATTTCCATGTAATCGCGGCCGATGCGGTGCTAATGATGAATATCAACACATTCTGGGTGGTCTGATATTATGATAGCTTGTTATTCTGCAACATGTAGCAGGGATGTGAGTCCAAACACATTCCCTATTGTGATGTGGTGCATGGAAGAGTTTATGACACCCTTTAAAAGGCAGCATGCATTGCTCCCCTCCTGTCTAACACACACACATCACTGTTCACCCAAACCTTTCATCCGTCAGTGCAGGAAAACAGATGGGTAAAATTGGCATGGGGCGTTCTGCCAGGAGAGCACTGGACAAAATTCTCATAATGATCTACTCAGACACAAGTGACATTAATGGTCCCATTTGGAGTTGGTCTAAATTCAGTGCCCCGTAGTCTACAAGTTGTGTTCATTGGCTGCGATATAAATAGTGCAACTTTTACAGTGCTCGGACAGAAGAGGCAAACCTCGCTTTGCTAAAAAACCACATCCTGACAAAGGCTGACTGTTGTCATGTGCCACAGTCGTTTGCTAAGAGCTGGTGCAGATTTAACCCATCTATTGCATCCTTTCAGGAAACAGAAACCAGAGCTCTCAGTGGAAGGCATGCACTCACTTGTCTTAATTGTAAACATTAACCAATTATCTGTGTTTCCTCCATTTGAATGTCCCTCTGAAGCCCTGTGCAGTCAAATTATTTCTATCTGAACAACCACACAGGAGGCAAACTCTTACCTGAGTCTTATCAAGGTTTGTTTTGCATGTGGACTGGACTCAAAGATAAGCCTGTAACTTTGGATTTAAGAGTGACTCATTTCCTAAAATATAACCACTAATAGTTGTTTTTTAGTGAGTCCCAATGCACAAGGGGATTTTTCATGGCTGAAATGACTTGTTCCCTGTATACACAACAGGTTAAATGACCAAATCTCCACATGTATTTGCACAGAAAAACGTGGAGGAGCTAAAATAAGCTGCACGTCTCTGAAACAACTCAGGAGGGGAAAAAAGTGATTAAAGTGAACCATGTACCTCAATCCAGCGCTGAGCCTCGCTGAACGCGTCTGCACAGCTGACATTGGTCTGCTGGCGCCACTCCATCTTAATCTTCTCAACAAGCAAATGGCACAACTCTGATGGAAGAGCAAGGAGAGGCAACATTTGGTTCAATTAAAGACAAAATGCGCCACCAGCCAGCACATAAGTTCAATTAATGTCAGCAAACATAAGGAAAAGTCATGCTGTTTGACTGAAAACACACACATATGTTAATAAACAGCAGCTTGTTTGGTCACCTTACGATCCTGTGCGTGGCTGTTCACCGGTGAAAGCTCTTCCCTGATTGACATCCAGTTTATCACTGGGCTCTGCGCACTTCTGCCAATGACTTTCCATCACCGACAAGTTCCGCTTATTGGGTGAAGTTTTGACAATGGTCTCCGCCCACTGAAAACTACAAAAAGTTTTTTGGGGTGAAGTGAAACTAAGAGGATCAAAAAGAAGATCTGCAGTGTCATCAACCCTCTGGTGGCCTGTTGGTGTCATGACACTGTGCGTAAAAGAGCCAGACAGACTGAGCAGTGACCTGGATGTTTGAATCAGGCTACTAAAGGCATGAGAAGTATATTTTAGCACCATTCAAACACATAGAAAACACAAAAGAAGAGAAAATGGATTCGATAATTTAAAAACACAACAAACATCCTACAAAAATGTTGATAAATTTGTATATTGAAATACCATCCAAATAAAGGTAAAGATGAAACAAAAACGGTCACTTATAGGCTATAAGTAAAACTGCTGCAGAGAGATACATTATTTAAAGGTGGTCTGCAGTTTGTATCTATTATTTATGATAAATTACATTTATTTTAGACCAAATTTAACCATGTACTTCCAGACACATCTTATTTGTGTGCACATTTACATTTTCAGTTGAATTTATTTAACAATATGATCAGGATAATATTTATTGTGGGGAATGCAGGATCCTTAACTCATCTATTTTTCTATTAAAAAATGAATAAACAAATCACTAGTAATGCAGGAAATTAAAATTTCTGACTGATACCGATATCCGATGTTACCATTTCTGATATTGCCGATAACCGTTATTACCGATTTTCAATTTTTGTTCACACTGAAAAAAGAGTATAAGTAAGCACTGTGAGAACATAAAAACTATTCAGAAGAAGCCCATACCAAATTAGACCACATAGTCTTCTTTATTACGTAACAAAAGTAAAACATACTTAAACATATTTTAATATATTTAACGTTTAAGTCCAGGACCATTTAAGTAAAAACATCTGTGAAATAGCAGTAATATCAAATTTAGAGACAAGGCCTTAATGCTAGACAATCATTGTTTTTTGGCATTGGTTGAATGTGTTCATCGGACTGATACCGATATATAGGAAAAAACACTAATATCGGCTGATACCGATGTGGTCGCTGATATATCGTGCATCCCTAAAACTCACAGTTCCGAAACAGTTCTTCAGAACGCTCTCTGGTCCTTCAAAATGCCAGTTTAATTAAAGGAGTTACTTTTTATGGGAGTTTCACACGTGGTTCTTTAAAATACTAAAGGTTCCTCATTTTTATTGGAATTATTTGGGTTGTTGGCCATAAACTAATGTTTGTTTTAATTAATAATTTGCTGTTCCACAAAATGGGCTGCAAGGTAACTCGGTGGTTAGCACCATTGCCTTGCAGCTAGAAGGTCGCCGGTGCTGATCCCGGGTGTCCCAGTGAGGACATCTGGGATCTTTGTGCGTGGAGTTTGCATGTTCTCCCCGTGCAGCGTGGGTTCTCTCCGGGTTCTCCGGCTTCCTCCCACAGTCCAAAAACATGCTGAGGTTAAGTGGTGATTCTAAATTGTCCATAGGTTTGAATGTGAGTGTGCTTGATTGTCTGTCTCTAAGTGTGGCCCTGGGATAGACTGGTGACCTGTCCAGGGTGTCCTCTGCCTTCACCCTGAGTCAGCTGGGATAGACTCCAGCCCCCTGGGACCCTAGAGAGGATTAAGCAGTGTATAGATCATGGATGGATGGATGGATGGATGGATGGATGTTCCACAAAACATCAGAAAATGGTGAGAAATGCTCATCACAATCCCCAAATTCCAGGCTGGCATCTTGAAAATGTTGTTCCATCTGACAAACAGTCAAAAACCTCAAATATTTAACATATATCTTACATGTGACTTTTTTTGTTTAAAAATGACTAAAATGGTTATTAAATCCTTCCATGAAAATAGAACCAGGTGGGTCCTCAAAGAACTGTCTGGCAAATGTTTTTTTCAAACAAATCTCTTTTTGCTAAGTCTTTTGGAGTGCTTTTTGTAGTCCCCAAATGATTCATTTTTTAAAGATTCTTTTAGGCCCATTTGCTCAAAGTTCTTAGTGGAACCAAGCAGGATCCTTCTATGGCATCACTGCAAAGAAATATGTTTGATTACATCTAGCTGCCATCACTCTGTCTCACTGCCACTACAGAGCTGCTACAACCTACAAAAAAATACATAGTTCATGACCTCAGACTAAACTTCTTTCTGACATCTGTAGCTTGTCTAATAGCTGACATTTGGCCTGCATTGCATTGTTTTTGTGCATTCAGTGGCCCTTAGGGGGTTAGTTTCTCCATCCATTCATCCATCCATTATCTATACACTGCTTAATCCTCTCTAGGGTCGCAGGTGTGAAAGCAGGGGACACCCTGGACAGGTCACCAGTCTATTTCAGGACAGACAGCCAAGCACACTCACACTTAGGGACAATTTGGAATCACCAGTTAACCTCAGCATGTTTATTTTTGGACTTGATGAGAACCCATGCATAAGAACATACAAACTCCACACAGAAAGATCCCAGGCATCCTAACCTGGATGTGATCTTCTAGCTGTGAGGCGACAGTGCTAACCACCGATCCACTGTGCAGACCGGTTAGTTTCACTCTTCTGTTAATTCATACATTTATAGATAGGTGACACATGGAAAACCAACATAAAGCATGTTAGTAAGGTGTTGGGCTACCAGAACAGCCTCAGTTTGCCTTGACATTGATTCTCCAAGTCTCTGGAACTCTACTGGACTAATGGAACACCATTATATATATCCCCTCATTTAGTGTTTAGATGGTGGTGTTGGAGAACTCTCTCAGTGTCCCATGTGTGTTGAAATGCGTTGAGTTCTGGTTCAAAGTAAAATATTTCAAGGCTAGAAAACTGTTGCTTAAAAAATTCTTTGCTTACATTAAAAAAAAAGAAAGAAATGTTGTGAGCACAATGTAATAATGTTCATCAATGTGGGACAGAGGGATTTAAAGATGCAAATCAAACTGAGTGAAGGCCGTAGCAAATAAATCACCTAATTTCAAACTCAATAAACGGTTTGGTGACCCACTGTGCACTATGGATGGAGATATTGTCATCCTGGAAGAGACTTCTCCCATCAGGACAGCAATGTTTCATAATAGGATGATCACGCAGAGCAACTTTGTATTGATTTGCAATTAAGCTCCACGAGGACCCAAGCCAGAAAAATGTCCTCTACAATATAGTGGAACCACGTGATTCAGGGGTCAAGGGTTCAGATTTTTCCTTTAATTTGTCACCGTCTACAGTTTGATCTCACAACTACCAATATTTCATATGAAATGTAAGTCATAAAAGACATGAACTTCAAAAGATGGCAAGTGTTTAAACAGCAAATGTGTAAAATGAAATGTTTGTAAGAACTACAGATTTAGACATAAAACAATCTGCTTTTTTTCTTAGTTTCTTCTGTCCATCCCTGGAAAAGATAGCAGCAACCTGATTCAGAAGGCAACACATGACATTATGCTTCAAGGGCAGGTCTCTTCACTCGCTCGCCTTTTATGCTGAAGTGATGAAGGATGGCCTGTGACAATTTCATTTTCACACATGAACTGCATTTGTCTATGAATAGAAAATTGTTTTTCTTTTGTGATTTTTTTTTTTTTTTACACATCTGAAAGCATAATGAGAATCTGGAGGATAGGCCTCATCTTGTATTACAGCACATGCTTACTCCAATCCAATTTCCTGCCAAATGCCCAAAGAGGTGCACCACAGTATATAGAGAACAAGGGCAGTGATGGAATCACATAATTGTAAAAATAAAATGAGGTGCAGAGGTGTAGGACACTGTAGAAAATTTAATGAGATACCTATTAAGAAGAAAGAACATTATGTGAATCAATAATCTTCACACACCTTCAATTTATTAGCTAAACCAGGGAAATTAAAAGATAATTTCCTGCACCACCTGATACTCCAACAGAACAATAGGGATTATCTTTTTTTTTCCCCTCTCGCTCCAATCCTAAATCCTCTGACTCACTTTTGCAAGTGTTAAATAAGACTAAGAGTGTCCTCAGCATTCAGAAATTTTATAGAAGCCGTTGCTGATTTTCAACAAACACACCAGACGCCTTTAGAAATACACTCAAGTACATATCAACAGATGCTCCTCAACTGTTTTCCCATTAATTTCTGAAAACAAGAGGACACTTAAAAGCTTCAAGGAGGGCATTTGCAGAATATTCCCTCTCTCTGCACATCTGAGAATTTACACCGGTATTTAAGTGTGAGGGATTCTGTTCACCTTTTTTGTGGCGCTTGTTAAGGTTGTTAGATTCCTGACATGTTTGGGCTTTATGTAAGACCTCAGTCAGAGCTTTTTCTTCTGAGTTGGTAACATGCTCTTTCCCAACTGAGACATATACAGGTGCTGGTCATATAATTAGGTTATCATGAAAAAGTTTATTTATTTCAGTAATTCCATTCAAAAAGTGAAACTTGTATGTTATATTCATTCATTACATACAGACTGATATATTTCAAATGTTTATTTCTCTTAATTTTGATGATTATACCTGAATACTAATGAAAATCCCAAATTCATTGTCTCAGAAAATTAGAATATTGTGGAAAGGTTTAATATTGAAGACACCTGGTGCCACACTCTAATCAGCTAATTAACTAAAAACACCTGCAAAGGCCTTTAAATGGTCCCTCAGTCTAGTTCTGTAGGCACAATCATGGGGAAGACTGCTGACCTGACAGTTGTCCAAAAGACGACCATTGACACCTTGCGCAAGGAGGGCAAGACACAAAAGATCATTGCTAAAGAGGCTGGCTGTTCACAGAGCTCTGTGTCCAAGCTCATCAATAGAGAGGCGAAGGGAAGGAAAAGCTGTGGTAGAAAAAAGTGTACAAGCAATAGGGATAACCGCACCCTGGAGAGGATTGTGAAATGAAACCTATTCAAAAATGTGGGGGAGATTCACAAAGAGTGGACTGCAGCCGGAGTCAGTGCCTCAAGAACCACCACGCACAGACGTATGCAAGAC